GTGCGGGTCCCCAGCCTCCCACATCAGCTGGTGGGTGCGCATGAAGCTGATCACCTCGTCGGGAAAGTCCTTGGTGGACTGCAGGAGGGGGTCATACGTTTCACTGGGGCACTGCGTGGCAACATAGGGGGCTGCATTAAGACCAGGACAGCCCATCCTGCGGCCCCCCGCCCCCCTCCGCCCCTGCTCCCCAGCCCCTTACCGTGCCGGGACGGGGATAGGGGACACGGCCCTTGTATTCTACCCAGCCGTAGTCGAATCCCTCCTTGTGCGCAAAGGGACCGCTGAAGGCAGCTCTCACAGCAGCCATGGAGTACATACAGACTGCAGAGCCACTGAAGACACTGCTGCGGGGGAGTGCAGGGCTATCAGTGTCCCTGCTGCTCCATGGGGACGAGACATCTGCATGCCCATGCCCCTGAGCCCACGCTGTCTCCTGTCAGCTCCAGGGTTGTGCGTGGCACCCAGGGGGTGACAGGAATCCCTTTGGCACAGACAGTCCAGCCTGAGGGACTGCTGGTTGTGCTGATGCCAAACCTGGGGGTTTGGCAAATTGGCCAGTGAACCAGCAGCAGGGAAAGCAGTGAAAAGGCCAGTGGCCCTTCCTCTGCCATCTAGGTGCTGGTCCTGCCCTTCTACCCCCAGGGCTCCCCATGTGGCAGCACTGGTGAAGGGCTGAGGGGGCTGGACTGCCCCACGCAGGGGCCAGCCAGAGCCCTGCTCACCTGGAGACTGTGAAGAGGCCGAAGACGAGAGGGTTCTGGGGATCCCGGGTGTGCAGGAGGAAAACATCCTCTGCAAAGAGAGGAGAGAAGAGTCCAGGAGCTGGAGTGCCAGTCCAGGGGATGCATGCCCACCTCCCTGGGGTGTACTGGAAGGAACAACCATGGCGGAGCAGTGTTGCTCCTGACTGCAGACTGGGCTGTGGGCTCACCGAGCTGGTCGAAGTGGGTCTCAGTGCCCTGGGGCCCAGGGATGGAGCACACCAGGCGGGCCTTGAGGAACGTGCTCCAGCGGTTGATGAGGCTGCGCTTCCCTCCGACGTCATTCTGCCAGGCACAAAGAGCCAGGCTCAGTCCAGCCTCTCCAAGCCTCCCCCACCACCGCATGGTCATCTATCCCCACAGCAGGACACCCCCAGCCCTGAGGCCTCTGTGGTAGGTGTGTGGTGATGCCCTCACATCCTGCTGTTGACCTCTGCTTAGGATGCCCCTTGGCCCAGAGCAGGTAAAAGCCTACTGATGGGACACCTGACCACGGCATGCTGGCCTTTGGTGACTGACCTTGCAGACCCGGGCCACCCTGGCATGGATGTGCTGCCTCTCCCACTGCCCAGCTTCCATGGCTGTCTCACGGAAGAAGATGTAGACCTTGTCGTCGTGCGGGTTGTAGGTATCAGGGATGGCATAGGCGCTGACGAATGTGGGTTCTGCGGGGGAAAGGAGCAGCACAACATGGTCCTGTGCCCTGACCTGACCCTGTTGTACTGCCCTTGAAAGCCCTTGGGAGCAGTGTGAGATGCTGAGGGTATGCAGGGTGCCCCATGGAGACCCTGCTACCTGGAAGGCAGAGCCCCATTCCTGGTGCTCAGGCTGCAGAGCGCATGCTGGAGCATGGGTCCCGCAGAGGCTTTATCAGTGCTTACCCCCAGAGATGAGAAGGCAGCCAGACCTCTGAGCTCTGTACCCAGTGCTGGCCCCAGCCTCTCCCCATCAGGCAGGAGAGCCCCCCACACCCCACAGGTCCCCCAGCTCCAACCGTGTAGCCAGTGGTCCTGGTTCTGCTCTGTCCGGATGTAGCTCTGCTCAGCCCCATGGACCCAGGTCCGGAAGAAGGCAGCATTGCTGCCCATGAAGTCACTGGAGGTGCCCGAATACAGCTCCCCATCTGTGGGGTCAGAGGGGGCATGGGTGGGTTGGGCTGGCACTGCAGGAGGACTGCACCATGTCCTCAGAGGCTTGGGGAGGGTGGAGGTGGCACAGCCTGGCTGGGAGCCTCCTCCAGATCCATGACCCAGCATGGCTTCTAGCCCTCAACACTCCTAGCCCTTCCACAGCACTGGTATGAGGCAGGTAGACTGAGGTCGGAGTGAGCTGGACAAGGACTGGGCTCTGCAGAACGGCTCTTCTCATTTGCACACACTTGGGCAACAGCCCAGGGCTGCAGCCATGCACAGAAGAGCAGGGGTGCAGGCACCACTGCCGTCGCCTCCCAGCACAGACCATTCCCAGCGCTCCCACCTTCCAGCATTGCCTGTGCTTCCCACCCTGTCTTACCGATGAGAAGCCCTGTGAAGGGTTCATGGGGGCTGTATGGGCACCGTCCTCGCCCTGATTCCAGGGAGTGGGTCACCAACTGCATGGGGGGAGCTTCGGGACCCTGCCAGAGCCAAAGGGGAGATGTCAGCCCAGGAGGAGGCTGGAAACAAGCTGGGCATGTGAAGAGTGGGAAGGAGGCTGGTGTCCTCTGCTCTGCAGTGAGCAGGTCCCTCAAGGGGGCTGCCAGGACCAGATCCTTTTTCCGCAGGGCACCCCTGGCACTGCCAAGCCAGGACTGCTTCTAGCCATGTGCAGCAAGGCCATGCAGATGGCAGGGACTGCACCAGGCTGGCTGGCTGGCCACCCTCCCCAGGCTCCAGGGCTCCCTCTCCGTGTACTCTCTGGGGAAGAGGACAGGGATGTGCTGGCGGTCTCTGCAATGGTGATGGGGAAGTGCTGGGGGTCCCTCACCTTCCCTCTGGCTCCCAGCTGGATGAAGGCACAGACAGGTTGGTAGGAGCCAGTCCCGCAGGCAAACACATGGCTCCTGTTGAAGGGCTTGAGGAGGCGGATGAAGTTGGCACACTCCATCTGCTCAAGGGGAGACGTTTTTTAGTAGGCTGAGCCCAGGTCTGGGAACTTGTGCCCAGGCCCATGGTGTGTCTGCTCGGGATGCAGGAGCCCAGCCAGATCCTCCCCCTGCAGCCAGTAGGCTGAGCTTAACTCCTGCTGGCTCAACACCCTCATCTCAGGCAGACCCCACGCCCCCTTTCGGGACGTTTTGGGTGTTTAATATCCATGACGAGCTGCATAAGGTCATGAGCCGGGGGGGCTGCCAGCCCTGCTTACCTCCACATTCTTCCCCGCCAGCTGGCAGCGCTCGACCTGCTCCCTGGAGGCTGGCCAGAATATCTGCAACACAGAGACCCCACCGATGCAACCCCTGCTTTCCTTGACCTGCCTGGGTTGGCTGGCTCCTGCAGGCACCAGTGGGAACGGGCTTGGCCAAAAGGCACTGCCAGGCTCAGGCACACGGTGGGGACATGACGCTGCTCTGTAATGGATCTGACATCCCCTTGGGTCCCCAGGGCCCGGCCGAGCTTGGCGGGCAGCCTGCCAAATAGGCTCAGAGTGAACCTGACATGGGGACAGAGCCTGGGTGGGCCACGTCACGCCCCGTCAGTGGGCAGGCTCTCCTGGATCCCGGCCTGTGGGAACACCAGGCTGCAGTGCCTTAATGGGCTTTCCTTTTGTTGGGCTTGAGCTGTGCACCCTGCCAGCAGGATGTCTTGGGATGACATTAGAGGACTCAGTGCCTGGGTTGTTGTAGCTTTTGCAGCGGCAGCAGGGACTAGGTGTGATAGCAGGGCTCCAGGCACTGCCCTTCCACTTGCACTCGGGGTCAACCCAGGTCTCCTCTCCTGGCCAAGCCGCCCTGTCCCTCCCTGGCGTCAGCCTGTCCCAGTGGGGCTCAACACCGCCAGGGATGGGTTAACCGCACTGATTGAGACATCCTGGTGTAAATGTGTCCCTGGTGATGTTAGAACATCCCAGCTCGGAGCACATCCACCTCCATGTCCCAGTGCTGGAACAAGGAGTGGCTCCCAGGGAGGAAGAGGCCAGCCTGGCCAGGGGCACGCTCACACCCTCCTCCCAGCACTGACCTTCTCGGGCTCTCTGCTGGGATGGTCAAGGTGGAGCAGGAAGATGTGGTTTTTTGCTCCCACCATCAGCCAGGCCCTGTCTTCATCCACCAAGAGGGCTTGGAAATCCAGCCCGTCCCCTGAGGCCAGCAACAGGCGAGAGCTATTGGATTTCAGCAGATCTGAGGAGCACAAGGTGGGAGGAAGACAAGCTCATCCATGAGTGACACAACAAGCAGACAGAGGCCCTGTGTTCCCCCTCTCCAGGACAGCTCTGGCTACCCACCCCTGCCCCAAGGGAACACAACTTTCCTGCCTTAGCAGAAAAACACCACCCTCAGTGCCTCAAAGCTCATCATGAAGCCTCCTCCCATGAGGCTACCTCGAGGGACCCTTACAAAGAGGAAAACTACCCTGACCTTGCCTTGGGCTGGGCTGGTTTGCAGGGTGTGGGGCAAGACAGTGGTCCAGCCCAAGGAGCCCAGGTTGCTCAGCTTCCATCCTGCCTTTCACATGAGCTCTTGGAGCCCCAAAGAGGAGAGAGGGCTGAGGACAGAGGAGACTTGCTTGCTGTAACTCTCAGCGTGTTTTCCCAGGGCTTCAGATCAAGATAGTTTACATAAAAAAGGTTTTGGTTATTTGCTGGGGCAGAGCACCCCTCCAAGGAAAGGTTGTATGGAAACAGCCTCCACAGCCCAGTCTGGACACCTCTCTCCTCTGCCCACCCCCAAGCCTTTAATATGTGAAGTGTCTGCTGCCTGCTGGGCTTTACCCCATGCACAGGGACGGACAAGTGGATGGGTGCACGGGGACAGACAAACAGATGGATGGCCTGTCCCTGGCCTAAGGAAATTATAAGGCAAGTCCCCAGCTGTGTCCTGGGTGCCACTCTGACCCTGGATCCACCACCTCACATTTCCCCCACTACGTCCTGAGACACAGCCTAAACACAGAATTAAACTGGCTCAGGAAAAGGGCTCTTAAGAGCACCCCTTTGGCACTGCTGGAGGGAAAAGCCATCTTGCCAAGACGGAAAGTTTGCCATGGACCCAGAGTGCTCCATGGGGAATGGAGACAGGACAGTGGGAAAGGCTCTGCTGTTCCAGCTGTAGCTCCTCCTGCGCGGAAGCCTGGGGGTGGCTAGCATGGCCCCTCCAGCAGTTGTGGACATGTGAGTGTTTGAGAGGGACAATAAGCTCTTGTCTCTTGGTCAGTCACTCCTGAAACAACATCTCTGGGGCCCACATCAGTCCATGACACGCAGGACCAGGTTTTGGGGCTGGCTGCTGGAGCAACCACCCCCCAGAATGGCAGGAGCGGCTGCTGCATCAGACATGGGATTGCAGCAGCTGCCACCCCAGGGATCACCTGCTTCCAAGGATCAAGGCAGGGGAGACCTGCACTGAGGCAAGCCTTAGAGCTTCTAGAAATCATAACACATCTCTTTCCTCTTCAAAAATCACAACATCTGGTTAGGGATAGGGTGGAGGCTGTCTATGCCAGCAAGGCTGCTCTGGGCTTTGGTGCTGTGCAGGGAAAGGTACAAAAATAGGGCCATGGGAAGGGGACATGGGGCTGGGCTGCTGCTGGATGGGGACTGGAGGGAGGTGGAGTATGGCTGGAAACCCAGAGTGATCTGTAAGACCCAGGCTGAGAAATTACCCAAAATCCTGTGGATGGAAGCAGTGTGCCAGGAACTGAGGGAGAGAAGCTGTCAAGGGGAGCCAGTGCTTGCTGGCTGGATGGGAAAGTGGGCAGACGTGCAGCCCCAGGTGCAGGTGGGGTGTACGTGGGCATGGCCACGGCTCCGTTCAAAGGGGACAGGCTGACCCGGGAGGTTGCGTCTCTCTTCCTTCCACCCCTTTTCCAGGCAGAGGGAAAGCAGGGCCAGGGCCTGCGAGCTGGAAATGCCACTAATGTTGCTCATCCCTGCAGGGGAAGGACCTGCTGGGCCACAGGCAGTGGGCAGGGGTCCCTGCCCGAATCCACACCAGGCTTGGTCCCAGCTAGCATTTCCTTCTACCCTTCCTCTAGAGTCAGTGTTCCAGCTACTGCGGGACACAAATCGTCCTCTGCCAGGAGCTGTTCCTAGCTGTGTCAGGGAGCTCCTGGCCCTGCTCCTGCTCCCACAAAAATTGTACACAGCCCCACTTCACTCTCCCCTACCCTCAGGTGCCCAAGGACTCCCCTCTGGGTGCCGTGGATACAGGGGAGCAGCTTTCCAAGCCATTTCCCACCAGCTGAATGGGATTAACAGCTGAATTCCTGTCCCTGCCTCCTGGCCATTGTCACCACTGGGTCCCCAGTGGGCTGCTGTGCATCACCCATCCCCCTGTGCCTGCCAGCGCTCCTGGGACCTACCCAGTCCAGGGGTAAACATGACACAGAGCACTGGGGAGTTGGGCTGGGGTGGGAGGGAAGGTCAAAGATTCATCCAGTACGTGGGTGTAATTAAGCAGAGTGGGGACAAGGCTGGTCCCAGGGAATGTCACCCACTTGTCACCCTCTGACCTGCCCTGTCCCCGTCCGAGGACAAGGTCAGGCAGGATGGTGGAGGAGCCCTCCCTGCTGCTGTGATAGTACATGGGAGGACCCAGGAAGGACTCACTGCCCTGCAGTTGCACCGTGAGACCTCTGGCAGGGTTGAGGAGCTGAGCCTGACTCTGTGGCACAGTTCTGCTCGCTCACAAAGGGGATGTCAAGTGCTGTGGATCCAGACCCTGTATGTGGGAAGCTGCTGCACACAAACCAGCCTCTTCTTGTCCCTAGTCTAGCTATATGCATAAGGCATCTGATTCAAACCCTGACCCTCGAGGCAGGGAACCAGGCAGTCCCTGCTGCACTGTGGCTAAACAGGCGGGTGAGCCCGAAAAACATCCTCTCCTTTGTGTTCGTTATCTCCCAAGGCCACCGTGTTTGTCTTTATTGTCTGGACCACTGTAACCGCCTTGTCCCATCCATCATCTCCACCACCCGTTTAGCTACAGCATCCTCAGTGCAGGGTGACCCTGGGCTTCCTGGGGTCACAGCCTGGCTATGCCACAGGGCTGCCCTCTCCCCTTCCCCCAGCCATCAGACAGAGCAGACCATGGAGGACATCCCTGAAGCCCAAGGGAAGCTTGGTGCTAAATCAGGCTCCAGCCTCTTGCTGCCGTTGGCTGATAAGAGACATGCCAGTGCAGCTTTTGGTGCCGATAATCAGAGACCCACCAGCTTCCCGTGCTCCTGAACATTTGCTGCACGGTGATGGCTTCTGGATCCTGCCTGGCTGGGCTGGCTGCAGATCAGAGGCTGGCAGAAGACCCATTTGCTAACTCCTATCTGTGCCTGCCCTGGAGTATTACAGTAAGAGGAGCTGGGAGGCATGCTGTGGTTTTGATGCATAGCTGCACTGCTGTATGGCCTCAGAAAACAGAGAGGCTCAGCTCCAGGCAGCATCAGGGCTGACCCAGCCTGACGCAGCTTGCCGACAGGCTGCCCTCTAACACAGCCAGCTGTTGTAAACCTCCTCCTCGGCAGGGTGGGAGCCACTGCTGTTGTTTCTGGCCCTGTACCCCGTGCCCCATCCTTCCTTTGCTCTCCCAGCCTTTGGTGTCATCATTTCCTTCTTGCAAGCTTACTTGTGTCTTCTCTCCCCGCCCCACTAAGGGCTCTGCCTGCCTCCCACATGTTGGGATCTGAGGACAACGCTGATCCCGTAGACAGACTCTCAAAGGCCTCCTTTTATTCTTTTTTCCTAGGGGTTTTTAAACCTAAACTTCTCAAGGCATTGAGTCCTTGAACCTGCCCTGTGCTGTCCATGAGTCACATCCCTTGCCATTGTTCTCATTGTCCTTGAGTCCTCCTGATGCTAGGAGCTTCCTCTTCTGCCTCTACCCAATACTTGAGGGCTTTCAGCATGTCTGGCCCCAGCAGACTATGTGGCTTTGAACTCAGCAGTCCCTCTGCGCTCCTGCTGCCCCAGCAGCCCTGCTCTGCCTCCTCCGGCTCCAAGGAAAGGCAGACACTGCATCATGTTTCCGAGCTGGGCTATCACAGGGGCCATCTTCCCACAAGGATATCTTGTCCCCTATGAGGTCCAACCTTCTCCAGCCGCAAGCTGGGGGCATCTTCCACCTTGGTGGCTATCCCTGCCCAGAAAGCAGCTGCTCAGGGTGATGGAGCAGGCCAAGAGGATGGCCCCAGAGCTTCGAGTGCGATGCCCATGGGAAAGCTGCTCTGCCACCTCACGGGGGTGGAGAAGGCCTGGTTGAGCCCTGCCGACTGATACATCCAGGGCAGCACTGGGGATGTGCTGAGCTGCCTGTCCTTCAAAGCAACTTGCTCTTTTTCACATAGGAGAAGACGAAAGCAGGTGAATTGTCCAAGTCCATGCTGCAGGTCCATGGCAGAGTGACCAGCTGCCAGGCTAGCAGGGCTCTGCTCTAACTGCTCAGGTCATTCCCCTGCAGAGGTCATTTCACTAGAGACTCCGTTTTTGCACTTCTCTGCTGGGCTGTGTGCTGTGCTACCTGTCAGTTAGCTCTTGTTGCATCTTCAGATCACTGAAAGCAGACACCCTTTGCATCAGAAGAGCAAACTGTGCCTCCCCTGAAGAGATCATAATCTAAACAGAACAAGGCAGATGCAGCAGGAGGGGAAGGGTAAAGTGCAGCAGGGAAATGATCTGCACAGTGGATCAGTCTCTCCTAGGCAGGAAAGGAGGGCTGAAGGCAGAAGGGCTGAGCTAGGGCAGGAATCTGCTGGTGGGAGGGAGGGGAAGAGGCCAGCAGTACTGCCTGGGGCTCAGTGTCCCCATTGCACTGTGAGCATGAAGACAGGGGACATGCCCCTGGGACTGTCCTGGTCAGTTCCAGCCCAGAACACATAGTAAGATGCCCAGAGTGAGTCTGAGCAGGAGGAGACATTCCCTTCTGGTCCCAGTGTTGTGCTGGACCAGGGTAGGGCATTCCTTGCTCAGTCCCCTTCTTCAATGCCAGCAGCACCATGCAGCATCCTCAGGGGCTGTGCTTGGAGCTGCATCTGTGAAATATCCCAAGCGTCCAACGTGTGGAGATGTTGCAGCCAAAACTGCAGAGCTACTGCTTGCCTCCCTCGAGCCTTGGCCACCCTCTTCACTCCCTGCCCGCAGGACTCTCTCCCAGCCCTCCCAAGCAAGGTGCAGACCCCAAGAAAATCCACTCTTACCTTTGTAGGCGAGGCGAAGGCGCGGGACGTGCTGCTTCCATGCCTTACTGCTGCCCGGCTGCTGCAGTAGGAGGCAGAGGAGGAGCATGGCGAGGGGGAGCCTGTGGCTGGGGACAGCACGCATTCTGGTGCTTGACAGCGGGGACAGGGCAGCTGGTCCTCACAGCACCATGGTCCAGCACTGAGATGCCACCTCCACTGCCAGCTGCAAGCAGAAAAGGAGGAAGGCTGCACTGCTGTAGGCTGTATGCAGGTCAGGACCCTCGTCTTTGTGGGTGCTCGAGGGACGGAGAGTGACAACTTGGCAGGTCTGCAGGCAGCTCGTCCCCCAGAAGATGTCAGGCCAGCAGCCTGGTGGAAAGGAGCCACCAAGAGCAAGTGGCCAGCCCTCCGCACACCCACAGCGCTGCAAAATGATAAGTCGGGGTTGCTGTGCTGCAGGGGGAAGGTCACAGCCATGGTGAGCTCAGCGTGCTGGGCCAGGGTGGTGAGGCACAGCCTGGGGACCCTGTGGCACCTGCCATAAGCTTCTCATCAGTGTTTATCTGAGCAGAACACCTGCAGGCTGCCTGGAGGGCAGGGGTGAGCCCACCCCTCCCTGGGGAGTGCGGGCTCAGGGGGAGACAAGGTTTGTCTTGAGGAGCTTGCACAGTCCAAACCAGCCAGGCTAGGAGGGGAAGAGGTTGTCTGAGAAGACGGGTGTCTTGCTGGCTGGGCTGTCCTCACAGCCTCAATGGTCATCGATGATTCTGGTACGGTGAAGAGGATTTCTGAACATCTCCATTGCTGTAAGCTGTGCCAGCACCCGCTGGGACACCCTGCACCCTCCCCCTCTGGGAGCTGGCAGAGCAGTTGGTGCTCACAGGGCCAGTTTAGGTACTGGGAAAGGCAGCTGTGGCTGGGAGACCTGCTCACCAGCTGCCACCCAGCAGCTCCAGCATGTTTCATATCCAGGGACTTCAGAAGACCAGTTAGTACAAGCCTTCCTAGAGGATGCGTGTGGTGTGATGCCAGCGTGCCTGTGGCATGTGGTACTCAGGAGTGCTTGGATCTGAGCTTCCTGGAAACGACTGATGTGAGGGAAGAGATGAGGAGTGCTTGGGGAGTAGTACATCCTCCAACAGGCACCCAGAGCTTGGGCATCTTCTGCTAAATATCTACTCAGACCCCCAATGCTTGGCCAGAGCCTAGTGAGGGATCCCTAACATTTACCTTATCTCAGCATGGGGTTAAATCTTGCCCCTCTTACTCAAGGGGGAATTAAATGCTTTGGAGCGCTGTCCATAAATGCCAATTTTGTGATCCCTTCAGCATCAGCTGCGGCTGTGTGGGTACAGGCTGCATCACTCTGGCCAGTATCTCTGCAAATGGCCTGGTCACCACAGACCTCTCCAAGGCCACCAGCATCCGTCGGCTCCAGGACACTGTAGGATAGAACTAGAAGGATTCTCTTATATTTACACCCCCTCAGAGGCGTACAGGGTTTCACAGCCTTGTCCACCAGCTCTCACACCTCCCGTGGGGAACAGGGCTGTCCTGCCAGCTCTCAGTGATTAATTCAGGCAATTCAGATTACTTTTCCCAGCTTATAAATGTCCCGGTCCCTAAATGGCAACTCTGACTAACTCCCTCTCTTGCTACATATTAAGTTCTTCCAGTTCCATGGCTGAAAGACTTAAAATGAGCTTTTTGGCTCATTCCTGGTCAGAGGCTCTTGGCACAAGGAGCAGGGGATTTCTGCCATCCTGTAGGAGGGATGGTGCAGACAAGCCTTTCCAACTGCCTTGGTCTTTGCCTTCCACAAGAAGGAGCATTCGGCTCAGCTTCAGGAGGAGGTTTCAGGCTTGTGGGTTTGGGGTTTCTCTCCCTCCAGACAGACAGGGAGCAGGCGGCAGCCCGTGGCCAGGCTGGGGTGCAGCCCCTCAGCACAGCTCCTCTCCTGCCCGTTGCTTGCCCTTGCCGCTGCTTTGCTCTCTCTCGCTCTGGCCAGCACAACCTGCTGTGCTCCAGAGCCTTCCTCTGTCCCAGGAGACCTGGCACCACTCTGGGAGCTGTATGTGACCTTGGGGTGGTGGCTGTGCAGTTTTCTGTCTCTCTTTAGTTTGGGGCTGCTTTCTCAACCCATCTACCCTTTCCCTGGGCAGACTTCTCAACAGGTCAACAACTGCCTAGGGAAAAAAAAAAAACAAACCCACAAACATGGTGGGTTTAGCTAAGTTTAAATTGCTTGTTACTTGACACATTGATTGTGGAGAGAGGGGGTTCCCAGGTAGGAATCCCATCAGCTGCACTGGGGACTCACTAACAGGCAGTGCTGCCCTGCTTCCCCCGCAATCACCTTCCCAGCAGGCAGAGATGCCGAGCGGCTTTCCTGTGCTGGGGATGCTCCAGCAGTTTCAGCTCTTCCCCGTGCTCAGCTGCCTGCAGCGGAGTCTCCCAGACTCGTCCTGCTGACTCACAGCCATGCCCAGAGCCAGCACTGCTACCCGGGGGTCATCGCAAGGAAGTGTCTGGGATTTGACAGGGGTTTTTTTAATTTCCTTTGCCAATGTGCATTTGGTTGCTGGAGGACTTGCAAAAATGCTGGTCTCTAATTGCAGCTTTCTATAAATGGAGCTGGGCATGTGCTAGGCTTAGGTTTGGGCTAAGGCAGCCCTGGGAGGAACCTTTCGTGACCTAGAACTCCACGGGATGCCAGGGTGGGTTGGGATTCTGCAGATGGCAGACAGGGCACTGCTCCTACCTCAGGGACATGCTCATGCATGGCTGTGGGGCAAGATTTAGGGATGCTTCGCATGCCTGCAGCAGGGGCCTGGGTGGTGGGCACACTCCCATGTACAGCTTGGTTATATTAGCAAAGCAGGTTTGATGGTGGCAGGAGGTGCAGTCACACACAGGAGGAACTCAGAGCCCTGGCAGAGCTGGGTGCAGAGTCAGAAAAGGTGAGGATCTTGCTGGAGGGGTTTGCAGTGGAGAAAGAAAGAAAAAAAGCTGCTGGAGGCTAACTTCCGGTGTGAAAGCCTTCCCCACATGTAATTCTTTCACCAAGATTTTGGGGCTCCCCTGTGTTGTGCCCAGGCAGCAGTGAGGGACTGAACACACCCATCTCCTGACACACAGCTAAAATCCCAGCAGCAGCTCCCAACCTGGCTGTGCCTGCAGTCCCTGGCATGGGGGCATCCCTTGCTGTGCTACTCGGAGCAGGGACATTGGGGGAAACATGCAGCAGGGTCACGTCCCCTGCTTGTAAACTCTGCCCTAATCTTCCTGGAGGTGAAATGCTCAGCAGAGGCAGAGTTTACACTGAGAGGAGGGGAGCGCAGGTGTCTAGTGGATGGAAACAAGCTGCGGATGATGAATCCAGGGTTAAATTAAACACTCCCGACAGCTTTAAATAATCATCTGTCCAGAGCTGCAACTATTTCTATCTTCCCCTGGAGAGGGAAGTGCTGATGAGGGCAGGTTTCTGGGTGAGGGGACGTCTGGGGGTTAAGGTTTCACACTCCAGGCACCACGGGCCCTGACGGGGAGGACATGGGTGATTGCAGTCCTGTTTCAGGGGGCTGGCAGTCACCAGGAGTGCCTTGGTGTAGGTGGCGTGGGTGGTGACACAGTGGCGCTGGGCTGACTTTGTGCCAGCAGTTCATCAGATGCCCTGGTCCCAGCAGTCATCCTGTGCCCTCCCCTCTCTCCCCTTCCACAGGTGATCTGCAGAATTCCAACAGGTTTAAGGCTCTGTGCTGTCATCTCAGGTTGCCGTTTCATGACATGGTGCTGAATTTTTCCTTCGGAGACAAAGCCCCTTGGAAGTCTCCCTTGACAGAGACTGAGCAGTGCAGGGAAAAGACAAATCCCCCCTGTTTGAGACATGCGGGTATGGGAAGGAATTGTCTATCCGTGAAAGCACCAGCTTCCTCCTAACAACGCCTATTTGCTGCAATGCCATGAATAGTATAAACCAGCCCAAATATCACAGGGGGAAGGGCTCTGGCAGTGGATGTATCAGGCTACGGATTATCTCCCAAGAGGAAGGACTATACTGAACTCGACCTCTTCAGTGACCCTGCAGCACTAACAGCAGCCCCCTGTGCTTCCTCCCTGCCCAGCCATGTGCTCCACCACTTTCACAGGCCCTGATTGTGTCCCAGCTAATCCCCACATGCCATTTGCAGCCTAGTGCCTTCTTTGGTTATACTGCGGAGCTGGCTGGGCCATGGGCAGGGACTGAAATGTTGGCCCCCAGCAGCTGGGGGTCCTCAAGGGAGAGGAGCCAAGGGGAGGAGAAGAGCTACACCCCATGTCAGCATTCAGCCACAGTGACCCTCCCCGCGGGGGGACAGAAGTGCTGTGCTAGAACTAGCTGTGAGAGGGAAGAGCCTCAGGGAGCTGAGACCCCCTCCACGGGGCTGGCACTGACCAAGGCTCCCGAGCAGCCAAGCCCTGGCTCCCAGACCTTAGCCCTATGCTCTTGAGACTGTCCTGCCTCTACCCACAGAAGCCCTGGGAGTGGGTGGTGTCCTCTCTGCCTGGGAGGGCAGGTACCGCTCTACTGCTTTTGGGAGCCAGGGGAAAGGAGTTTCACTGTGGCAAAGAAACTGAGGGGCAAAGCCAGGCGAGGAGGTCCAGCAGACAGGACAGCCGTGCCCTGCCATCAGGGAGCTTCCTCCTCTCCCGCACCTTCCCATGGCTCAGCCTGGGTGCCCATCGCTGCACGCACGTCTGTAGGTGAGTTTGGTGCATGTCTGTGCCATGTGAATGCAGGGCCACGTGCACAGGGAGCATGCACAGCTCGAGCTGTTGGTTGTGCACCTTGGTGGACACCGCCGCCCTCTTCTGAAAGCTCTGCCTGCCCCCTCTTCCTGCCCACGCAGGCACAGAAACCCTCCCTGCTCAGCCCAGGGCTTTGGTTGCCCCTCTCCAACCCATGCAGGATGATGGATGCCCCAGCAGCTGCAGGCAGAGGCAGCTGTCGACCTTCTCCAACCAGAAAGACAAAGCCACTGGGGTGGGCCCTTGGCTTCTTCCCTGCTTCCCCCCAGAGCTGCCTGGCCAGGGCAGGACTGATGCCAGGAAAGCCTGCGGTGCTGAGCTGCTTGTGGGACAGAGACACGGGCTGCTGCTGCA